TATAGATATAGATTTTATATGTATAATATAAAATTATATATTTTATCATTAGTTTATAGTGTATAATGACATTTTTTTAAATAAACAAGGAAAAACGAAATAAAGAATCGTGCGTAGTTTTTTAACTACCATGATAATAAATAACATTGTTGATAAAAATTAATATGATTATAATCCAAGAAGAATTATGAAAGTGGCACCATAAATATATAAACGATTTTTTTTTTTCGTTACTTTCCAATAGATAGATAGTCCAATAATTAAAGCAAAGTCAAAGAACTTGTGACTTAAATTTCTGCCATTTCATAAGGAAAGGAAGTGGGCTATCAACCTTGACAAATTAGTAAGGCCCAATAAGGCAATGATGGTCCAATAATTTCAGCCACTCTTTATCTGTAAAAATCCCGCATCGAAATCAGACTCTTCCCCGATGGGCAACATCCCACCATCAATCATCCGCCAGCCGCCGCGCCCCCGCCGTCTACCAGCGGCGAATATGAGCGAAGAATCGAAGACAGAGGTTCCACCGCTCAAAGTTCTAGTTCCACCCGATGAGCAGGTTTGTTGCATCTAACTCAAATTATTAATGAGAATACATTTAGGTAAAGCTTCAATCTTTTTCCCCATATCGCCGTTTTTGTGTGTTAGGTTCATATTATCTGTTCAAATTTGGAAATTAATTAGAACACTATTTTTTTGTTTTTTTTTTTTTGTGGTTAAGGTAAAGTTTTGGTGAAGTTCCATTTTTTTGTCCCCTACCATATCCTTGTGTTTTCTTTACTGTGTTGATGTCCATTTGAAGAAACTAACAGAGTAAAGAGCAAATTGATGGTGTGTATAATATGTAACTTCATGTAAAAACTTAGATTGATGGTGGCAAAAGCACTGAAGGCACTCGGACTTATTACCCATGGAGCTGCAAAAGGAAGAGTCCGACGAGCTTAGAGTCTCTACCGGACGAGCTGTTGTTTGAAATCCTCTCACGCGTCCCGGGCCAAGATATTTACGAGGCAAGGCTCGTCTGCCGAAAGTGGTACCGTAAGATCCACAACCGTAATTTCATCAATGCACAACTCGAGCACGCAACTCACGGGCTTCTCTTAAGATCCCAAAATCCCGAAACCGACTCATTCTTAATCCACGCTGCGGGAGGCCGGGCTGAAATGTCCAAATTCAGGTGCCAACGCACGTGCCTGGTTCATACTAGTTGTAATGGTTTGATGTTGGAGTTTGAAAAGCAGAACATGGATAATATCTATGTCTCGAATCCTGCGACTGGGCAAATATTCGTTCTGCCACTATATGTTGGTGGGGTCAGCAGTTTTGAGCTATGGGGAATAGCTTATGCTTCAGTTTCCATGGAGTATAAAGTGGTTCTGCCTATTCTTACCGGGCCATTCACTAAGGAAAAATGTTATATATTAACGGTTGGTGTGGATAAGTCTTGGAGGGCCGTTGATTTGGGACACCTGTCGAGCAAGGCTACTCGTGCTTTCATGTCTACTCCCGTGATCACAGAAGGTTTCATCCATTGGTTCACTGTGTATAGCAACATTGGCTTGACTCTTAATGTGGAGACCGAAATCTTTACAGAGACTCCCGGGTTAACGCCCAGCAGAAGAATTTCCGATCACCAGAGGAATATTTATTTGCCGACTGGGAAGTACTTGTCTCTATTGCGTCCATGTGGGGAATTTTCGTGGCAAGTTTGGGAGATGAGGCCAGAAATTGGGGAATGGAGAAAGATGGGCAGTGTTTGCCTGGAGTCTCAGAGGCGCAGGTTTAAGCAACTTGGTCTAATCCAGCCAACCGAGGTTAATACACGTCCGTTATTCAAACTACGAACCGATGTAGTTCCGGTTGGTTGGGTGAAGTACATGGAGGTGTTGGCCTTGAGTTCTGCGGATGTGATCCGGCGCACGATTTTTACCTTCAATCTTGTGACGGGCGAATTTGATGAAATGGAGCTACCTAGCGTTCGTTTAGATTACACGATTATGTTGCATAAGAGCAGTTTGGTTTGGTTGTGTGGATAACAAAGCATCCTTCCTGTTTTGTCTTGGTGATAAGAAAGCATCGAGAGATTTGTCTGTTTGATCTATTTTGTAGGCATTTTTTTTTTTT